GATATAAAATAAATTAATATATAATAAATATATAATAAAATAAATAATAATATAAAAAGCAGAAGCCAAAATTTGTGTTTAGCTCACTTCTGGGCATGTAGCAAATTATGTCGTTCAGCGATAATGTCCACGGCAATTTTGGCTGTAGTGACAGCAAAAATTGAAGAGGCTTGTTGTGATTTTTCTCCTGGAAAGTTCTCAGATAGAACAGCTTCGGCCTGGTTCGCCACGGACAGGCTTGAATCACATGTGCCAAACAGGATGAAGGGCATTATCTAAAGGCTTGTAATTAAGTCACGTAAGAAGTATAAATATATCTCCTGAAGACGGGAAAAATAACTCACAACTTTGAGTTGTTTCTCTGCAGCTTTTTTCAGAGACGATATGAAATATGATGCTGCCCGTAAAGACAGTACCCGAACTGTCGGACTTCCATCCTAAAGATGGTTAATTACAAGACGAATGAAAATATGAGAAGATAAAGCACTTTAGTAACCAAGAAATATGGAAACTGAATATGTTGTGATAGAGTTTCCTCTCAAGACATTGGATGCATGAGCGGATAGGAGTATAGTGTGGCTCTACACAAGAAAAATCCGCACCATTGCCAGTTTGTCCATAATTGTTGCAAAGTGATTGTAGCACAGCTCTACCATTTCCATATCCTTCTCTTTCAATAAGGCAATAAGTTCACGAAGTGCCTGGGATTAACAAAAACTTATATTCAAAGCACTTTCTAAGAATTAATAACTAATTTAACTAATTTCGTACGAACTGATCTACCTTCTCTCTTGTTTGAGGATCTTTCTTGGATAGTTTTCGAAAAATAAGCACAACATCTGGGTCAATTTCTCGTCCAATTGAACCAGCCGCCACAGCGGCGGCGGCTTCAAAAACATTCGAGAATCCTGTGTCGAAACCGACAAATCCAACAGATTGGCCACTTTTTTCGAGAAGTGCTGCAGCATGAGCGCTACTGGCTGCCTATAAGGAATGATCTAATTTAAGCTAAATTCAAACCACTACAGAACTACAAAATGAAAAGAAAAATTCTAGAATTTTCCATCAGATTATATTGGCAATCCTCTAATCAAGCTATTCCCAGATTTCGACGAATAATACGCCCAGAAAATTACCCCAGGCGTTTCGTCAGCCTCCCCGTTTTAGGTCGGCCCGCCCACTCAAGGATTTCCTCAAATCACTGCCCGTGTTTTACTCCGCTCGCCACCAATGCTTGCTAGCGGGAGAAGCATGCGTTTCAAGAACAGCTAGCCATTGTTATGGCGCTTCAACTCACCTCGTTAGTCCAAGAAAAACCCAATATTCCCGTTTTGACGATTTCAAAGTAACTAAGTTGATATTCATGTTCAGTACACTGAAATGCTCAAAAGAGCAAAAAACTCGGAATTAAAAGTTTGCGTTTGCTCAAACTTTGCCTTCAAAACGATCGAACTAGTGTTACAAAATTGAGAAAGGAAAAAAATGTGGAAGCACCTGAACATTCCCCTTTCTCCTCTGTGCTTTGCTCATGTTGTACTAGCAAGTGCAGAACGTACCTATAAAGCGACAAATTTAAAAATAAAACATATATTTCAAAAAAGAAGAGTGTATTGCATTTTCACCATCTCAAAAGAGCGAAAAATTGACGTTTTAAAAACCCCTAATGATTCAGGTCGTAACTGCGGATAACATCATAACTTCCGCGAATTGAAGCTTTTGAAAGATGATCAATTTACAGTTTTTCCTGTTAGTCATAATTGGCCATCTACGAGTCTCTGTTAGCTCAATTTTTACTAGGTATTCATGGCTCACACTCACTTCGATGAAGACAGCCGTGATCCAAACGATGATCATTGGATTTTCGAGGAGTTAGGTTAGCCGATTATATTATTTTTGAAACTTAGTCTCATC